TCACATGTGATTTGTGAGTTGCAAAAAAATTTCAAATATCAAATGCCAATCAAAAATTTCTTCCCCACAAAGTTATCATAACTTTTTAGATTCTGACATTATGTGACATTATCTTAAGGTACACTGTGTAAGATTGAGCAACATCTAGTGGGTATGTACTGTGTTGCGACTCACCTCATGTGTCTATATATGTGAATATATCTTATCGTGTTTTTTCAATATTCAACGAATATTTCCCCCATTTTGCACCATGTACAAACCACTCTGTGGACTAATTATTTATTGCAATGATTCTGACCATGAGCAACTGCACAACAACATCTGCTTCACTGGCACCAATGACAGTGTTCATTCACATCAGACTCAACCATAGCTTCAGCCTTAGCACAGCAGGGCTCTCACCGCTCATAGTTGTTCACAGCCTTTAGCCATTAACAACGTCACATCAATGTCAATTATAAATTAAAGTTAAATCACCACCCGTGACATGACTGAAAACACAAATGTTGGCGATGCTGCTTCTGTGAACCCAAAGCGCCTCAGAAACTGTTAGCCTAGCCGCCATAGCAGCAGTAGCGGCTGTGCCGTGTCCACCCTAATTATCAGCGTTAAAATGCGAAAACGAAATGTCACAAAACACTTACCTCTGATGGCACGATCTTCATTTAAAGTCCAATAGCCAGTATGATGAGGAAACTTATCCAGCTTGAGCCTCTCTCTCTCCTTCCTGACGCTTCAGCGACGAATGTCCAACGTCTCAAACCGCGCCGCGTCCCGTTTTAATCCGACAGCCCGGTGTTTCTCATCCCCTGGATCGAAACGACTCTGACTGACATCGTCGTCATTGTTTAAGAAACGATTGTATAATACTACTGTTGTTATTTCCAGCATCAGCTGTTGATTAGCAGCATGCTAGCGGCAACTAGCTCCGGTTAACTGGAGTGAACGCAGCTTTAGCATTAGCCACCTAGCCGTTAGCCTCCAGCTAACGATCCTACAATAAACCGATTCCGATTAAACTGCGGTTAAAACAATTTTTTGCCCACCCAGCACCCGCTGCGTCGACTTGATAAAACCACGACAGCGCAGTAAAACTGCGGATTCTTCTCCGGGCGCGCAGCAGCAGAAACAAACGTGTCCTCTGCTAAATTTTTGGTTTGGGAATTTTTGTGTCAATTTTCACAAAATGGCGCGCGGTCCAAAGCTGCGCAGTGAAGCGGCCCAGTGGTGGTGGAGGAGCAGCAGAGACAGCGCCGCCGCCGCCGCCTAACGAGCCTATAACACCCCCGGCTTTAGAACGTCAAACACCGCTGACTCGTCTTCTTTATCAGCAAATCCAACGAACCCAGTTCTACCCCCGACATCGTTAAAAGTGGGTCCAGTGACAGCATTGTTCCGGCGGGAAGAGAGAAGGTTTGAAAAAGACTGAAGCTGGAGAAGAGAGAGAGGAGGAAAAAAAACCTCTGACAAAATGGCGATGCTCAAGCTTGTTGCTATGGCAACTGTCGATCAAAAAGTAGCCCCCCTCCCAAAACTCCCGGATGTAACGATGACGAAGAAAATGGAAGCGAGTCAGTGGAATAATAAATAAATTAGAAATGGAACGACAATATATTTGAGTTAAAAAGAAAAACACAACAAAATTAAAAACGACATAAAAAATAACAAATGATGACAAAATAAGATGACAAAAAATTACAATAGTAAAAAATGAAAAAATCATCTTAAAGTTAATGAAAACATACTACAAAATACTACAAAAATATGCATCATGTATAAACAATACAAATAAAAAAGCTTCACCGAAATAAAACTGGCTTAAAAGTACAGATGTTAATAAAAATACATACATATATATAAAATAAATACTAAGCATGAGATTAGGAAAATATGAAATTAATGTAAATAAAATATAAAGCAAAATCTGTCAAAGTCTATTTGTTACATTATTTCCAATTACATTTTTAATATATATTACTTTAAGGATGCTGTATTTAATAATTTTCAATGATAAGGCTTTTTTTTCAAATATATTTCACATTTCTTTTGTCCTCGTATATATTTGTTCCAGTTAATGGAAAAATCCCAAAACATTGTGGTGAAGTATATAGTAATGTTTCTTGTGTATGAGACAGTTTCCTATTTATTTGTTGTAATGTCTGCTTTATAACATTGAGTTTATCATGTGAAGTTTATCACCTGAAGGTTTCAGGTCAGACCAGTCTCAAACATTCCGTTTCTTGAAGAACTTGTCTGACTCACCTGTCAAAGATACCCAATAAAACCCAAGACCTTTGCTTTTAGTCAATTTAGAACAAAATAACTCAGGCTGGCAGAAGTAAACTAACAGTTCACTGTGAATCCACCTAGTTAGTTAATGGAGGCTAAAGTTTAAAACATATCAAAATGTCTAAAAGATAACGGGAATTTAGGTGTGAGAAAGAAATGTATATACGCTAAAAGTGATGTTAGAGCTGCTAATGTATAAGTGATAACAAGGACAAACACAGAAAAGTTGTGTATGTCAAAAAGACAGTAAAATGCTAAAGCTTTGCCACAAAAAGGAGATGGATGACTGTATGAGAAAGCACAAATACATTCAGACCTCAGCAGCCAATGGGAAAAGCATGTACTGTGAAGGAGGCTTAACATACCCAGGCTTTGTGTTCAATGTCTGGCTTAACAAAACACCCCCAAAGCCCCCAATCAGAGTTAAACTGTAGTATGATGGCAGTTCTCAGCTTTGCTCTCTATGCACGTTTACATAGAAGGGCGTCATATTATTTATGTTCCGTCTAAAAAATTTGAGATGCCCAGCAACATTTAAGTTAAGTTATGAATAATATAAAAAGACCATCATTGCCATGATCAGCATAAGGGAGGCGTACTGTCACATGGGGGCATCGACATGGCAGGAAGCAGGCAGGACCCAAATGCAGGACTGGTGCAGGTAGTTTATTTCAAGATTCTAAATTACAAAAACCAGGACAGAAGCATAGGCAAAGTCGAGAAGAGCTGAGAACACGAACAGAGTTGAGCACAGCAACAGACTTGCTCAGGAACAAACTAGGAACAGCTACAACAAAAAAACACAACACAATACTGGCACGAAGTATATGGCACTCACAAAGACAGTCACTTACTTACAATGATCCACCTAGGCCAGAGTGAGGGAGAGAGGTATATATACAGGGAGCACCAGGTGACATAGGTGAGGCTAATTGCAGACACAGGTGAGTGTGATAACAGATTACCCCACACAGCAGACAGAAGGAACAGACAGACCTGACACGTACTGGCAGAAATTTATCATATAAATACATAACTAACCTCGATTCTTTCCCCTTTTTGATTTTCGAACAATTCCTGTATTATTTTCATATATTTTACTGATCATAATTATAGAATGTGATGTGTGTTTTATCAAATCAAAATTTCACTGTGGGTTTTTTTTCTGTGTCAGGATGAACCAACAAATCTACTGTCTCTGTACAATGACAGTAAAGACCTTTTTGACAGTGAAAATATCTCAAGCCTGTCAGAACTGGGTTTGGGCTCATACTGCCCTATAACAAGTGTAAACACTGATCAGTTCCTCATTTTTGTGCCCATATCAAAGTGAAATATTAAATCCATTAATAATTGTACTTGAACTGAACATTCTGTGGTCGATTGGTGCTTAAGGAAGCAGACTTGGGTTGGGAAAGTTGCAGGTTTGAGTCCACCTGCTGCCAAGTCTCCACTGAGCATTGCATCATCCCCACACATTGTCTGCTGGGCACCTTACTTTGCACAGAAGTTGAATAATATGAGGTCAACCCCCTCGGTTGCACGAAGCCTGGACAAACCCAGCCTAGTTACTATGGTGATTTAACCTCTGCAGCTAGTTTGTCCTATTCAAATATTACATTTATATTGTCATTTGTCATTTCATTTGTCTGTTGACTATTTGTAATGGCAACAGTCTCTCAAAGGGAACAGGGAATCAAACAAGTCTGTCCGCTATTGTCTGCCGGTCTTTCTTAATAATAACATTTATCACACAAAGTCTTCAGCCTGGGCTGGAACTGGCTCCTACTTTATTGTCCTTCACACAAAGACACACATATAGGAAGTACAACAAACTGTTTCAGTGTAAGACCACACTCGTTCTAATTATTATTATTATTAATAATATTGTTGTTGTTGTTGTAGCACCAGTATTGTGAATTAGTATTACTTAAGTATTATGAGAAGAATTCTTATTAAAATTGAATTATTATTATAGTTAATTAGTATTATTATCAGTATTACGAAGCGCGACTGTTCATCCATTTTCCCATCGGTGATTCTGTGGGCGATTCCGAGGTAATTTCAAGAACGCCGTGAGCACGCACTTATCCAGAATATCTAGACCCGACTTGACATAGCTCCGCCTCTTCATCCTGGTTTGGCGCACGAGCAACCAGTTAAGCCAAGATGCGCGGATAAGAATAGGTCAAAACGCACTACCTCAGTTATTCTATTTTTGTGCAATAACCTCCCAGGGAGTTTTACCTACAGCACACAAGACGGCTCAGGTCCAAACACTGTGACAATTGAACATCAGCCAAGTCATGTCACAATATGATGATGCAGGACAAACTTGACATCATGTCCACTTATTTCTGAAGGTCCCGTTGCAGACTGCAGTGATACCACAGGATGGCAGCAGAGCGTTCATCAGAGCTCACTGTGTTACTCTTCAGTCTCGTTGAGGGGAGACTATTTACTATTTTTGCATGTCTGTGGTAAATAACAGACGGCTGGCTTAAGTTAAGGAGTGATATTAAAATAAGCAATATTAACAATAATACAAATACAATTAATAATAATAATATTTCAGAGGCAAGGTTTCCAAATGTACACATTTATTTTAAAGGAAAGTACAAAATCAAAGCAGAAACAGCTGATATTTACAACACTTTCACAACAACGAGCACTTTCTTTGGTCTTTTTTTTTTCAATTTCATTTTTTTAAAGTCAGGAGACAATCTTAAAGTTGAGGATTAATGAAATTATAACATGCTGAATCCGAGTTTAATTAACTGAATTAATCATCAGAATCCACACTGTTATTGACGTGAGACTGAATCTGCTGAGCAGTGTTTCATTGTTTTACATATTAATACAGAGACACTTTTCTGTTTTCTCAAATAATTTCTATCATTTAACTATGAGAAGCAGCTGCAGGTTTTAATTTTTCACACTTTAGAATAACAAAATAAAATAAAAACAGCTCTACTTTATTTCTTGCTTTAGATAAACTCAGAATTTAAATAACGTATTAATATTGCCAGTCATTCAAGTCATCTTAATAATGTTCATATGTGGTGTTAGGTCAGATTAAGGCCAAGGGTATTCACTTTCATTTTGTAAAATGCAATTGGTGAGATAAAAAGGCTCACACAGACTCTGAAAAGTTCTCAGAAAAAATCAGAAAAATGATACTTAATATTCCACTGTCAAATGAACACTAGAAGAAAATACAAAGTTTGTCTAAAGCAGGGAATTAAAGTTGAAGCTGAGAACAAACAGCAATAGATGAAAAAACTTTCAAAAACAAACTGTTCACAACTGTCTCTGCAGAAGTGACAGGCAGGAGAATGACAAGTCTGCAGAAAGATTCCTGAACAAAGAGATGATCAAACTCTCTCAATGATAACGTACTGATATGGCGATGGTGGGAACTCCACTTAAGAGCAGACACAAAATAGAAGAAAGTCAAACAAAAATAATAAAAAAATAAATATTACGAACAGTAAATCAAAAGTAAAAAAAATCAGGAAACAAAGAAGAATCTGATTTTTCTTTTTCGCTCAGCAATTAATTCCAAATTCATGAACAAGTCAATCATGAGACACTAAAGCAGTGACGTTGTCTACATCCTGGTCTGTCACATGTCAGTCACATGACCATCTACAGTTTGATAACAACTAATGTTACAGTAAAACCTTCAGCCCTTTACTTTTTTAAACAAGTAGCTGTGAAAAAACAAACTTTAGAGTTGAATTAGAAGGAAATAAGATTAGGATCAGGGTCAGTCAAGAGGGCGGAGTCTAAGAGGATATCAACTGAGGAGGCAGGGTCTAAAGACAAAGGTCAGAGGACATCAGATGAGGTTCAGTAAAACAGATGTTGGTACCAGATCTGAAACAGTTCTTCAGGTTGTGATGATGATGATGGTGTTGATGAAGATAAGTGTTTCAGATCCAGAGACTAACACCTGGACTAAAATATCCTCCACAGCAGAAGGAATCGGTTCTAGAACTAATTTTACTCACAAGAACAAATGGAACCCAAAAGATGTGAAATTTACACTTTTCCAGAACTCACTGGAACAAACATGAAATTTGGACAGAAATCAGTGCAGAGCAGTATAAACATCACAACGACAGTTCTTTTTTACTTTTCTTTTTCTTCTGTTTTTTTTTTCTTTTTCTTTTGCAGGAATGTTCAGAGGTGAAAGGAGCGGCTGGAAAGATTCTTTATGAATCCAAATATGAAATATTTTTTCTTCCACATGGACTTCAGAGAGTATGAAGAGAAATGTGCAAAATGTCCACATTCTCACTGTGAAAACAGACAACGAAACATGAGTGAACATCAGTTCATCATCTGTAAACATGATTTGTTTTGTCTCCATCCACACACAACGCTTTTCTTCTAGCATTGCTGCAGTGTCGACCTGACCTTACAGAGTCTCTTTTCTGACCTTTCACATTTCCAGCTGTTCCTTCTTCTACACCTCAGCTTTCTGACTGTTCTCCTCCACCTTTTCTTCCAACTTCTTCTCCTCCTCTGAGGAGCCGTCCTCCTTTTCTCCGGTTTTCCAGCTGCCTTGTCTGTTGAGAGTGGAAACACAGTGTTTTCATCATTGGTGCAGATTTTCTGAACTCTGTGGAGTTTTAAGGTTTATATGGGAAAGCCGATCTGGAAGTACTACACTGCCACCTAGAGGTTCCTACTTTGTTTAGCCGTCAGCTGAATTAAGTTCTTACCAAACTAAAGTACAGGGGCATTACTTATGAAATATTGACCAGATGTACAGACAGAATCTAATGGTAGTACAGTGTAAAAGGAGACGGTGTTCCGGCATCTAAACTTCACAGTTGTTCCCTGGTTCCTCTTCTTAATAAAAATTCTCAATAGGCATATTAGCAGACATTCTGAATGATCGGTGTGACAAGCTACAAAAGGCAGCTGTGGCAGAACAGCCTGAAAAGAAAACTTGTAATAGAACCATATATCTTGAGCTTTTTGGGGATTTTAGGGGAACCTTCCAAAATATGTAAAAAAAAAGTTGTAAGAAACTAAAACGTAACATCGCAAGAACAAGGTCCTCAGTTCATGTAAATCAGAATGTAACGTAAAGATAGAAGGTCGCTTAAGAGATAAAGTGTTCACAGAAGTGAAGTTCTACGACTGGCGGAAGTTCAAATTCACATACTTGGATTTTCTCATGTAGACCCAGTACACCAAAGCCACCACCAGGATGGCGACCAGGAGTCCCACCACCACACCCACCACCAGCTTGGTCTGGTCCTTGTCCTCGGACTGGTCTGGAACAGACAAACAAAAACCAAACACACTGTCATCAAAGCTATCCATAGATCAAAGACAGACCCAGAGCTGATAGGTGTGTGTGTGCGTACGCGCGTGTGCGTGCGTGCGTGTGTGTGTGTGTGTGAGGATGCTGGTCCTGCTCCTCCTCTCACTCCTCATTCACCACAACACATTAATCCTGACTTGACATATAGCACAGATTATTTATTCTAAACCACAGGTTTCACAAAAGTCCACTTAATGAAGAAGGAAAAAAAATTCCTAAAAAATAAATAAAACTCAAAGAAAATCAAATCAATAAGAACGTAATATGTAATGACAAAGAAATAAAAAGTCAGAATATGAACTACATACAAATTGTCCAAAAAAACCCAAATACTACATTATTAAATAAATAATACTTTATCAAAGTACTGAAGAGGAAATCACTTCACACTTACTTTAGATTTGGCAGAACAACATATTTGTTTATCTGAAACAGTGTCTCTAAACCTAGGGTTCATGTACCACTTTTGGTACTTGTCTGACAAATAGTCTAATAATCTTTCTCCTTCAGATACTGATCAGTTTTCAACAATCTTCACTTCAGTAACTAGTGTACTGTAGTACCAGGAGATGGCAGTATTTAAGAGGTGGTACCAGTTTCAGGACCAGATGAAACTATTTTAAGAAACTAAACTGTGATTTTTACTTTCCACAGTCTAGGAAAGGTGACTAGAACTTACCTCGTTTATCCATCCTCACCTCCACAAATACTGAAATCAGATGTGAAAATAAAACATTAACAACGGAGGCAAAAACAAGAACACACACACAGAACATGAACACACCCCGACAATCGGCTGTTCTACTTCAGCATGCAGGAGGAAAGAGGAAGAGGAAAACCAGTATCCAATAAACATTGGACAGTGTGTGTCAGGGTGTGTGTGTGTGTGTGACTGAGAGGGTGAGATTGTGTTTTTGCAGTTTTGTGAATACTTTAGGGGTGTGTATTAGCACAAATCTGGTGATACAGTGTAGACAATACGATATATTGCAATATACTGCAATACTATAGGCACGGTGATATATGGTAAACAAAATAAAATAAATATTAAAAATTGTAATCACTACTGCAGAGAGGAAATAACAGCATAATTGCATTGTAATTGCTAATAAAACGGTATCAATACTTTCTTACACCCTTTGTATATTTATATGTATATAATATATATATATACATTTATATATATAATTATATATATATTTATATATATACTGTATATGTTTGCATGTTTGTGTTTATGTGTGTTTGTAAATAATGAGAAATCACAGAAAAAATATTTCCACCAGGGATCAGCACCACATGAGCATATGAGAGTGAGACAAAGAGAGAGAGAGAGAGAGAGAGAGAGAGAGTACCAGTACCTGAACTGGTTTCTGTCTACACCACTGTCACTGGGTCAGTGGTTGGATTCTCTTGACTAATTATAGCTGACATGCAGACAGATAAAGATGAAGGTCAGGTCAAAAAGCTGGACTAGAGCAGAGAGAGGACACAGAGGACAGGATGTCCATCGTCTGTCCTTCAACTTACAGGACGACACGTTAATGGACCTGGTGTCAGACCCAAACTCATTGGTAACGGTGCAGGATACGGTCAGGTTAGCAGATGGAACCACAGTTAGCTTGTGCGTGACCTTTCCCCTGGTGAAAGAGCTCTCCTCAGGCTGGACACACACACACACACACAGATGAAGAAGAAGAAAATTAACAGTCACAAAATAGACCTCCTATACAGCATTCATTTTCAAGGAAAGGTGAGTGCACCATCACAAATATTCCTCTGGAGGGCAGCAGTTCTTTGTCATAAAGGGAGAAAGTGAATCGTGAAACGAACAAGATGACAGACACGGGGAGGGGGGTGAAAAGAAAGCAGAGGAAGGGGGGGGAAAGAGGAAGCCCAGGTGAGACAGAGAGGAAGAGGGGGAGAGATAGAAGAATAAAGACCAGATGGTAAATTGAAAGAAAGAGAAAAATAAGGAAATGAGGGGACTCTATTGTTATTATTATTATTGTTGTTATTATTATCACCATGCAGTAAGCTACAGTTTCTTCTTTCAAAATATTGACACATTCCATGATACAAGGCACATGGTTGTAGTACTATGTGTGGGTGTGGTGTGAGTGTGTGTGTGGGCTGATTCCAGACACAAAGACACCCTTCTTGCCTACATGACATAGAGAAGAAGTTGTGCCTGTCACTCTGCAGTACTCCGCAGTAAGGACTCTTTAGACTGGACATATTCCTGACATAAATGCATTGATTTGATCAGTAGGTCCAACATTTACCAACTCTCTCCACTTTTTCCAAAACTTTTCTTATGAACCTGAACGTACCGAGGTTCCATTGATGCTCCAGAACACCTCTGGCTTTGGAGAACCTTCAGCTTCACAGACCAGGACTTTGTGTTTTCCGTCTTCACTACGCTGTTTGGACAAATGTCTGATGACAGGAGCTCCTGGAACATGAACAAATCCATAGGGCAGAGACTTTTGGGACTGGTCCATCATTAAAAAAAAAACATAACTTGTGACCTTCACATCTTTACCTTTGACCTGCAGCACAGAGGAGGATTTTCTGGTCAGCTGACCCATGGTGACCACACACTCATAATGCCCCGCATCGGAGAAGCTCAGTTTGGGGAAGTTCGGCTCTGTGTCCAGCATCACATTATCCTGGTGAAAAGAAAACCATCAGTAGAAACAGAAGCAGCGCTCTCTCTTAAACGGACCTCTAATATCAACATGGATACCTTGTACCACGAGACAGAGTAATCTGGCTCAGCAGAAACAATCTGCACAGTATAGTTGAACCACTCGTCTTCTCTTTTCTCAACTGTTCCAGATGGAACCAGACTCACATCCAGGTCTAAAGAAAACAAAAATAGAAGAAGGTTCAGAAGTTCTGTTCAGTTCTTTTTCATCATGTTGTTTTCCTTCATATTTTTATTTCCTCAATTCATACTCCCTTTCGTCCTTCCTACTTTTTGCTACTTCCTGTTGTGGATACAACAAAGTTCTGGAAATTACTGTGGAGTTGAAGCCAGCTTCAGTTTGATGAGGTTCTTTATTTTAGCAACACTACAGTAACAAGCTCAACTTCCTTCTCCTTCCTGTTTCCTTCTCTATATATTTATCCCTCCCTCCTCCTCTAATCTCCTTCTCCTTACAGTTGATGACGATGCTCTTAGAAGCCTCCAGTGTGGGGTCATCGATCAGAGAACACTTGTATTCTCCAGCGTCACTACGTGACACATTGGTAAGGGTGTAGGTGTTTGTGTTTTCCACCTTCACCACGTTTCCCTGTAATCAAACAAATAAACAGGTGAACACAGAGGTGGGTGAGGGAACCCCAGCAGGGGAACCTACGGGAGAACCTATAAATAAAAACTCATGGATCAGACACTGAGAAGCTGCTGGACCTTCAGGTGGAAGAAGAAGCTGCTGGGAGCTGGGTTTCCATCTGCTACACACTTCAGAGTCACGTTGTCTCCTTCAGCCACTGGCTCCTGAGAACCTAGCTCCAGCTCGATGTTCTCTGTTGAGTCTGAGCAGGAGGAGCAAAGGAGTGGTCATGTCAGTTGAGGGACTCACATCAAGTCATCAAGTCATGTGAAGTGAGAGAAGTCAAGTACACAAGAAAGACAGCAAGAAAATCTTATATTAAAAAATAAGTTCTATTTAAAACAAATGTTTTAAGCTGGTTGTGATAAATAATTTGAAGAACACACAGTTTGTTAAACTAACTTAAACCAGTGTTTTTAAGTCCTCAGCCTTGGTGAAGACTGACTGGAGCCTAACATTAACATCAGCACACACTCCAGTATGTACTGGGACACAGCTAATTAAATGCTCATCCTTTTTGTGCTACTGGTCTGCTAACACATCACAACATGCTATCACACTGCTGAAGTTGTCACACTGTGGTCTCCACTTCTTACACCCATTGGACAGTAATAAAAGTCCTGACCAAGTTCACAGAATTAAATTAAATTTCAATTCAAACATGAAACAGGGCTATATATATGGTATTAGTGCCACCTGCAGGCCAGCTCTACATGACCTGATATGACAATGAGCAGGATCAAGTTGTGATTGGTTACTGGTTGAGTCATGTGACCTGGATCATTTGATTTACATGTTGAGTGTTTATGGCATGTTAATTTGGGTGAGTCGTGACCATGTCATGTGACTCACAGGTGACGGTGAAGGAAACAGAAGGCGTTAGCAGCTCGGCTCCACCCTGGTGTTTGCTGACACAGCTGAACTTTGAGTCTGCGTCGTCTTTTCAAACTCCAGAGTAGAGAATGTACTGGAGAGACCTGAGGCCGGGTCCACCTGGACCGAGGTCTGGATGGTGACCCCTGAACACAAGGAAGAAGAAAAATCAGGCAAAGGTGAGCAGAAAAGGTGAGAGAAAGAGAGAGAGAGAGAGAGAGAGAGAACAGCTGACCTTTTTCTCCTGATGTCAGAGGTTCGTTGTTTCTAAACCAGCTGATGTTTGCTGCTGGATTGGCTTCAGTGGCCACACACGTTCCCAGCTGACAAACACATCCAGAAACATAAGAACATCATACCATGATGATGGTGGTTAAATGAAACACACAAAATCATGGTTACAATATGAATGAAAATGAATATTAATAAAACAGTCAAGTGATTCTCTACTGAACCAGTGGGAGACTCTGACTCTGACTGATGAATTTAAAAACTTCAAAAAACACATCCTGGCTCAGAAATATATCAGACAATTTTCTATTTTGAATATTTAGATTTTGGATTTAATTAACTGCACATAGATCCAGAGCTCTTTCCTGTGAGACTACCATAAAAAAGTCATTTCTCAATCTTTTCTCTAATCTGACAGCTGATCTTTTATTCATTAATAATGAGTTAATTAGTTCAAAGAACTCATTAATGCAGGAACAGGAGACTCCTTTTATTCCAGAACCAGGAGTTGAAATGAGACGTTTTATTAAAAAACACACCTTTGTCAGTTTGCCGATCTCCAGTTGTCCTGCCTGTTCAGTGATCTCCAGCTTTGATGGAGTCTCTGGGAAGAAAACAACAAAAACACATTTTCAATACAGTGTAACAGCAGAACACAATAATGAAAATGTAACAGTACTGGCCCTGCTAAAATGACACCCTATATGTCAACATTTGAAGACTTTTTGTTTTTGAATCCTGTTATGTGGTCTGACTGCACTTGACTGATGTAGCTAACGTTAGCTTTGGTTCGCACCAGTACTGTTGTAGCTAACGCTGGCTCTGGTGTGGCACCGGGACTGACCTGATGGTCACAAGAGTTTCACCTGAGTAAAAGTGAAGAGTGAAGAATTTTCTCTGCTGATGATTGATCAGGATAAATTAGGACTCACTGTAAATGATGACATTGACGGGGTACTCCTTGATGTTGGAGCCAACCACAATCATGCAGGTGAAGGTCCTCTGGTCCAACAGTTTGGCTGCAGACAGCAGCAGACTGGAGTTGTCCGCCATGCTGACACGGGTTCTGTATTCATCTGAAGCCAGAACCGACACGTTCTGGTCCAGCTTCTTTACCAGCAAGTCTCCCGAAATCCCCTCCCCAATGACCTGGAGAACACAGAAGGAGTCAGACATTTCTGCTGTGTCAAATGAACAGACTCTAACTGTCCAACTGAAGTCACTGCCCACCTAATGGAACCAGAGGAAAACATCGCTAACTCACTTATTAAATGGTTTGATTAGTTTCAATGTTATTACACATTAATGGTAGAGGTGTGCAGTGGTATGATTCCTTCCCATTGTCTTCCAAAGGTTGTGGGTTCTATACCACCTAGACCTTACTCCAGGTTTAGGGGTTAGGAATGGTGTGTGGTGTTAAAAACTTGCTACGACATCACTATGTGGATTGCTGCGGTGGAGACCTTGCAGCAAGGACTACGAGGGACACCTATGTGCATTTCAGGTGTAGGTAGAACAATGACCTGGAACTAGGACAGTTTGTCATGCAGGAACAAATGAGGGGACTCACATATTTCCACTTGGTGATGAGAACATCCTCTGGTTGAACCTCTCCACTGTTGCAGGGTATCTCCAGGGTTTGTCCGTACTGACCCAGCACGGTCTGCACCGCGTTCACTGTCAGACACAAGAAGGAGTTTGTGTTAGTTCACAGAACCCTCAAACACAGTTCTAATGCTTTTGTTGGTGTTAAGGGTTTAACAATGTATTTTCTGTATATCACTTGAACAAGTGATTCACGGTTAATAACAACAATATTAATAACTTCATAATAAGGAGTGTATTAGAGAAACTACAAGAGAAGAGACGGTGGAATACACTGACGTTATTCTGCTCCTGAGTTAAAATGTATCCAAATTTTATTCAGGTGAATCTTTAGATTAATTTCATCAACAGAAACAAAATAATATACAATAATATTAATTGTAATAAAAACAAAACCATTTCATAAGGTTCATTAAAACAACAGTTTCTGTAAATCATAGGAAAAAATGTTGTGACCTAAATTTGGATGAAAATATCACCATGGAGACAAAGCACTGGGGAGTGGTGTGTGTGTGTGTTTGTGTGTGTGTGTGTGTAAGGCAGAGAGCAGACAAATGAAGTTCTGAGCTGATACAGCTCACAAAAACATCCTTTTTTATGTGAAGGTAAAAAACCTTTTTTGGAACCTTCAGTCAAGCCCATCTGAACTGTCTCTAATCCTCAGTACTTTTGGAATGAGGACAAGTTTTATAAATGAAAGGATGTGACCTCTCTGTGTGTAAAAGTCAAACATAATCTGGAATCAACTTTGAATCACGTTCCTCTGATGTTCCTCCCTCTGGTTTAATCCCTGGTTTTGGTCTTTTTGAACTGTTATTTGAATTGAAGGACACGTTCTGTCTGTGAGCTGTGATGATGTCATTTATACGACACACCTGATGTTCCAGAGAAGACGATCAGACTGAGACCATGTGCTGTTACTGATGATGTAAATCCACTGAGAGGTGATGTTTGTGGATCGCTGTGTCCAGCTTCTATGTACAGTCTACGGTTTGAGGCAGTGACCAGTGGAGGAGGAGCCCAAAGGAACCGATTCCTGCAGGGACACTTTTCCCTTTTCATTCCTCAGATCCATAAAGAAGGATGTGGCTCCTTACTTCATTCATGCTCTCTGTGTGTGTGTGAGACTGAGTGTGAATGAGTGTGAATACCTTTGGAGTGGTTACCATTGTCTGACACAGTCACCCAGTAACGCTGAGTTAGTACCGATGAAAGAAGCAGCGGTGAAGAAGAAAAACTCAGTGAAAATCACTTCATTAAACCTTGTAAATTTAACCTCTTTAATGATGACGACTCTGCCCTCAGGTGGCACCGTTGCTTTCTATGTGCTGGTACTCTAGAAGAACAGGGAACTGATCATTTAGTCAGGATATCTAAGTGGACTGGGCGTGGTTCTCAGAGGACTTAACTTTTCTGTGATTGTTTTTTTATTTTGTGGATTATTTCTAAAGGGACAGAATAACATTAATTTAAGTTCTGCCTAATTAGACAGGCAATAACATTTTGTTTCAGTGAAAATAGGAAATAATACTGGGAACTTTACTGAACAACAAAAAAGTATGACTGTGATGCAACTGGAGGAACTAGAACGTCAATCATTTAGCAGCACTAAGAAATATGGACACTGATACTGCAAAAACCAGTATCAAATAATATTTATAGAAGTACAGGGACCCCTGTGGATTCCAGTACAGGAACAGCGCTCCAGCGGCTCCTCCGGAAAGACAGTACTGAAACCCTGATGTTCTCAAATCATTTGTCTCTTCTCTGAAAGAACAAAATTTAAACCCAGCGCTGCTTCAATTATTAATAGAAGGACAAGGATGAACAGCAGAGAAGTCACAGGAGCTGAGGCTTCCTTTGATTTGACTCTGCGGGAGAGGGAGGGGGGACAAGCAGGAGCAGGAGCAGCGATGGCCTCTTACTGAGATCCTATTGATGAGCATCGGTTCCAGCGCTTATATAAGTTCCCAGTCTGACTGTGGTTGAGTTTGTGAGGATGAAAGGTGGAAAACAAATTGAGAGAAGACTGTTTCCTCTCACAGATAAAGAACATGAAGTGTTTCTGCTGCTGTCGTCCCGCTTGGTTGGTCACTACTTTTACCATCCACCTGCACTCTGGCATCATTTTCTCTAACTTTACCCCAGAGAGCATCACGTGCATCAGGGTGTTTCATTACGTCTCTATGCAGATGACACACGAACTTCCAGCTTTGTCTTCTCTCACTGATGCTTGTCCAGGTGCAGAAAGAAGACATCTTAGTGAGGAATTCCAAACACCTCTTATCCCAACATGCTTCCCATCTCACAAGGATTCACCAACTGGCCCCACCTCCAGACCTGGTTCCTTACATTTAAGTCTCTCAGGTACTAGTACCAATGGTCCACTCCATCACCACCTGCACCATATAGCAACAGCAGGACCCAAATATATACAAGGTAGGACAAAGATTATATATGTAAATAAATCATCTTTGTTGGAAAATTATTTTCATCTCAAACTCATCCGAGCTGAGCCTGAAGTTGGAGCTTCTTCACAGACACCAGCATTGACAAAAGCCTTTCTGTGTAAAAGCTCCTTTAGATTCAGACTCACTTCATGTGTCACCATCTGCTGCCAGGACACAGAGAGGTTTCTGAAGCCATGGAGAGTGGCCCCGGGTGTTGTTGACCCCCTGAATCTCACTGCAAACTTAAGAATGGTCCATTTATGAGGAGAGCTGTTCAAGACAAAAGCTTTATTCTGCGGAAGCGTTCCCCACAGGCTGCAGTGTTGTCCTTCATCGTCCTGCCGGAGGGTCCGGGCTGTTTTATCTCAGGACTTTTTTATCACTGATTCCCATCTGCACAGAGTCAGAGATGTTTAAAAGTTTGTTTTAGAGCCAGATCTGTAGAAATGTGTTTTTATATGTTTAGAAAATACGATTAATAATGAATGAAACAAAAACTCTCCATCTCTACTGATTTGTTTGATTAAATTGTGTCTTTGATTTATTTCTGCTTTTAATTTTATGTATTAATGTTTACTTATTATTATCACTATTTACACGTGTTAAGATTCTCTTCATTTTCATGTTTACTTGTGTCCATTTATCTGATATTTCTATGGTAAATTTAATTGAATCAACTTTGACTTTCTTTTCCAAAATGTGTGTGTTACATTCAGTTACTTTTTATTTACATTTTTTTAAACGTAATTGATTATTGATCATCATTGTTAGAAACATATCTGGACTGGTTAGAAAATTCAGAGACAAAAAAGAATTGATGTTCTGACTAGGGATGTCCGATAATAAAGGCCGACCGATATTATCAGCACAATATTAGCATAATTATGTAATATGTGTAAAAATAACAAAAACCGTTAACGAAAACCTGACGTAATATGTGTAAAAATAACAAAAACCGATAACGAAAACCTGACAACGCAATGCTTGGGTTCCGTCAAATGACGTGTGATCTAAAAATAGGAGAAGGTGGAGGAGGTTGAGGAAGAGGAAGATAAGGTAAAAGAGGAGGAGGAGAAGAAACAGCAGCAGATTTCTGTTGAGTCTATATTCCAGACCATAGACCAGGGAGTGTGATGACTGTTATAATTAACACTGATCTGCAGCAAAAACACAGAAACAACTCCTTGTAAGTACCAGGAAGTGGGCACAGTACCAAGAACTATATACATCTTCATCACAGCGGTAGTTTGGGCCGCTAGTGTCAGACACAGGAAGTGGAATCTTTAAACTTTGATTTTGTCTCTTTATATTTTACCAAAATACGTGACCAGGGAAAAGAACAGAAAAAAGTGGAGACCTGCCAGTGTCAGCAGCAGGAACAGGAACAGGAACACAGCAGGTGCAGCTGCAGCTTCACTGCTGCTGCTTTTCCACCTGTCAAGCTGCTGTAGTTACCTGCTGAGTGAGACGCTGCTACTCTGGATCTTCTGTGATCATCTCAGCAGCAGCAGCAGATGGAGGTGTGGACAGCATCCGTCAGAACCTGTGCAGACCTGCTGCTGCCGCTGCTGAGATGATCGGGTTTCTGGTTTTATGGAGACAAAGACCAGGACAGACAGAGTCTGGAGAAGAAGGTGGTTCCTCCTGCCTTCAGGTGGTTTCAGATGCTCCTCTGATTAATGACCTGACGACAGACAACTGATGTTCCTGGGAGAATTCTTCTACAGCTGTGTTTACACAGAAAAGTTCAGAAGTACACACTACAAAGTATAGTTACTACCAAATACAAAAACTTCACAACAAAGTTCTCACAACCTTAACCACAAATGAGTAAATAAGTAATCCTGACAATAAGTTGAGGATAGAAGCACAACTTAGAATTATCCAAACAAACGTGGATATTCCTTTACGTCAACACCCACGAGCTAGCCCAACCAGCTAGGCTAATAAACTGTAGAACATTATCCCTGGGATTATAAACACAATAATAATCAAGACTTGCTACTGTTTAGCAATAAATGCTAAGACCGATCCAAAAAACGGAACATAAATTCATTAATTGTAAATTAAATTGAGCCCAGTGACGGCTAACAGGCAGTTCAGCATGTGGGTCAGAAAATGTCTGTTGTGTTCAGTTTCCATGAGGCTGAAAGTTGAGCTGCAGGAGAAAATAAATCGATGTTGTAGGTATTTTTCAAGGTTTGGATGTGAGACAGATGGACAGAACAAAGACAACTGATAATGAGAATGATAACGATGATGACAATGATAATGACAGTTGGTCTAAATGACTCTGCCCTCGGGCCTTTGTAGAAATTGATCTTAGGGTAAAATCATTAGTTGTTAAAATGGTTCTGCTGGTTCCACTCCGGCACTCGCCCGTCTCTTAAAAACTCTCATAAATCCTTTCAGCAGATGAGCTGCTTTTAGCAGCAGAAATCACCTCCATTACAGTGTGCATTATTCATGTGAGAGCCGTGGGGAGGGGTGTGCTGGGCCACCCCAGAGAGAGAGAGTCGTCTGTGAAGATGGTTGAGGACCTGAGGCTAGAACTTCCATTAACCTCAGTTGTCCATTAAAGACACAAGTGCTTTTACTGAGGTTCCTGCTGCTCCATTAACA